AGGAATTGGATCTGTTAGATTTAGGAAATTATCAATACATGGGAGCCCTGCACCTTCAACTGCGAATCACGATCCGTGTAGCTTTCTCAAACTGACCCAACAGTTCCCATGACCCACAGTCTACTACAAGGGTTCATGATTGGACCACCAAAGTCAACCAATAGACTAAAAGACGCAATCCCAGTTTATGGATTTCAGGTTCTCCACTAGAGGCAAAAATATGATCATCCAAACCATTATGCAACCATGATTTTGTGTTGTATAGGGGTAATCTCTCGCACATATACACATTTCACCCTCATTAGCGAATATCAAAACGGATATCTATGTACATATCTTGTGATGATATAACGAATTGGTTTTAGCCCTGTCTCTAAAGGCTATTCATCACACAAAAGGGCTACACAATCCCTCAGCACTCATCCAGGCATACACCGACCTCATCAAGGGTTAACCCACTAAACCCTTCTCGGTTAGACCCCTATGCCCAGGTATCAACTTATGCTGGTCTAGCTCGTCGAGCCTAGTCCGAGTATCAGCAAAATAACATTTGCCTAGTATGGTCTACAAAAAGACCACATTCCCATTGAGTTTATGCTTCATTTATTGAAAATGTTTTATACAATCTCTCATAAGGCCTTTAAAGGCCACATAAACCCAACAATTATACCATCTCTCAAGGTCAGCAAGGGAATCCAACCCCAACGAAAAACATACCCTCTCAAGGTCTGCAAGGGAATCCACCCCAAAAAACGATCTTTTCACAAGACCAAATTTAGTCAATTCTCATTCTTTGATCATTCCCTGATCTTTTACAATGAAGGAACATCTCCCTTAAAATAAACTTTGAAAAAAATAACTAATTAAATAAATAAAAGAACCAAAAAAATTAACTCTCTTCCACATGTTTCCTCTCCCTCCCTATTTTCTCTCTCTTCATCTCCCTATTTTCTTTCTTTCCTCACGTGTCTCTCTACCCATCACGTAGAGTCCCTTGAATCAAGGAAACTCCCCTATCTTTACATACTCCACATATCCTTCCCATATCTAAATCACCTTAAATCTCTCACTAAATCTAAGATAAGCTAAAAAAAAACCAACTTACACCAAGATTTACTTTTCCTAAAAACTCATGCTACCCATTCCTAAAAAGATAAATTCAAAGAATAATAAAATTATAATTATGAATTTTTCCTAATTTTTATCTGCATCACCCTGTGGGCGCCATGTATGGATTTGGAGATATGCTTTAATTCATCAAATTCAATTAAGCATTGCAAGTTCATAACCTTCAACTGGAATTTGACCAAATCATTCAAATTAGGAATAAAGAGAGGCATTTATGCAAATGTGGATTCCAATTGAATTAAGACTATGAGTTGTTTGCAATTATTTATCAGACCAAGACAAAGAATTATAGATTTTATCTTTTTTGGCACGCAGAATGCAGAAAAGTCCAACCTATTTGGATGCTTAGTGAGTTATTATGGCTGCTCAATTTCAAAAAGTTCATCAAAAGTGTCTTTGGGATTAATGCCTACATTTTTGGTAAATTGCTTCTACAAGAAGTCACATCAGTAAAGTCAAAAGCCTCTCAGATTCAAATAGTCAATCATGAAAAAATTATGTGAACTCTATTCTTTCATTGATCTTTATGGGTCAAGGAAGAGAGAAGGAAATTCTTTTCATAAACAGCATGTTGCTCATATTTAATCATGTAACACTCGTTGATTCATCATCTCGTGACACTAGTTCAAGCAGTCCATTCACCAGCTTACATAGCATGCCAAAGGATCCCAACTAAGCAGCTGTGGAATCTGACTTCTTCATTCAAGATTCAAATCAATAAGAATAACTACAAGGTTCGCTCAGCGGAAACAACTATGCAAGACCTTCAAACACTTCCTAAGTACCACTCATTTCATTTTATCATTTATAGATATTTAATTGTCACCTGAAAATAATGTTAGACAACATAAGGCAGAACCCAGGGCACATAAAATTAGATGCAATGTGACGATTATATGTGATCCTGAACACACTAAATGAAAAATTTGTTAGAATTGTTGGGGTTCGTAGCCCTTAAATGCCGAGTGAGCATGTAAAAGTCATTTATAGTGGAAATATACACTTCAGTAGAAGTATGAATTGTTTGATTGACCTAAGGTTAGGCGATCTATAGCCCTAGTCATGTCTAAAAACCTTTACCCTTAGGCATTTGGCACTATCAAAAATGGTTTACAGAGGGTCATCCCTTGTTGAGGTTAAAGAGATACCCAGGGATAGTTTGTAGGCCAAAAGAGCTATGTGGTCTCCTGTGTGCGGATGTAGGCCTGTGAGAACAAGGGCTAAATCCTCAACAAACTTTCACCCGGCATGTACATATGACAGCTGCATTACTGGAAAGCAACCCTAAAGCAGGATACATGCACATGTGCATAGAGAGAGTCCCCCTTGCACTATAGTGATATGTGCTTGACTTGCTCTTGAGTGGAGAACTATAATCCAAATTTCGGGACTATGATTCCACTATTTAGTGGCTAACTTTGACAAGCCAATCATGAGCCCTTGTATGGGACTGTGGGTCATGGGTTCCATTAGGTTGGTTTGAGACGACAGTTGTAGATCATAGTCACTAGGTTGGGTTGAATGCCCTATAGTCACTTGTTTTTTACATATTTGTTTTAATGAATTTTAGAAATTTTTCAGAATTTATAAAATTGTTTCTGCTGTAATTTCCTTGAGAACTATTATTTTCAAAATTATTAAAGGAAGGGCACATGTGCCACACCCTATGGGTGGAGTGTGGGGCCCATAGTTAGTTAAACATGATCTTTTTAAAAAGAAGATTGTGTTTTATTTTGTGGGAGTTAGTTTTGACTAAAAATATATTATTTTGACCTCATACGATTTTAAAGATAATAAAAAGAAGTTCTAGAAGGTTTTTAAATTTGGTTTAATCTTAATTAGACTAGAAGTGGATATGGGTTAAATATTAAAAGGATAAAGTTCTAAAGTTCTAAAAGGTTTTAAATTGGTTTAATATTAATTGGACTAGAAGTGGATATGGGTTAAATATTAAGGGGATCATCATCATCATCATAGCCTTTTCCTACTTAATTGGGATCGGTTACACGAATCCTGGTCCGCCATTCTGCTTTATTAAAGGTCATACCCTTAGTGAGGCCATAAGTCCTCATATCTTTTCGGACTACTTCCAACCATAACCTTTAAGGCCTACTCCATTTGGGCCTACCCCCTCTCTTTCAATACAATTCTCCAACCTCTCTCTCCCAATGCTCTCTCTCTCTCTCTCCCCTCCATGCCCTAACTCTCTCTCGTTCATCTCTATAATGCCCATCTCTCTGATCGCTCTCACTGTTCCATGCCACCCATAAACACATTAAACCACACCTAACCCTAACTAGGGTTTTGTAGAGAAAGGACTAGTCTAACCCTAGAAAAGGGAGGTGTCTTTTTGAAGCATGCCCTAATTGTGTTTCTATGCACTCTAATCCTAGTTTAAGAGGTTTTGCCTAAGGAATCTTCCCGGCTATCAAAATTCAGCAAGACCAATAGGATTGAAGTGTACCATCAGTCAGGAAATCGGGTGTGGGGTCTATTAAGTCCTGTGGGGGTGACCCTAGGCATAATCGAGTAAGTCTTCCTGGCTATTTATTTTTGTTTTTCAGAAATATTTCCATATTCACTGTGATATTCTAGGAACATCATTTATACTCAAATTGTTAGTGGAAGTTTGTTTTCATTCCTAGATTGTGTCTATTTAATTTTGGCAGCAAAAGGAAAGGTCCTAGGTTGTATTTAGAGTTTCAATTTTCGTTTACAGATGTATATTGTGGTATCTGCAAATGGAATTCAGATTCAACAATAAAGAAAGAAAAAAAAAGTTTATTTTATTGCCTTGAATTCCACATGGCCACTCTTTTCAAAAATATAGTATGACTCAACAGTAAATGACTTCATCATGCTGTCCAACACTGATATTAATCCATGTCATTCAGTTACTTTTTGAACTTTCCTACTTGTAATATTCATACTGCAAAATCATATATGGAAGAGAACTTCTAGGATTATGTCAAATAAGGAGTATAATATGGTTGTGACAAGGATTTCGTCAAATCAATTCGTGATAGAAGTGAGAAATTCATAACGTACACAAACACCTAAGCAATCCCATTAGCTAATTGACAGCATTGACTATGTATATACTTGTACGTCTATAGGCAAATGGCAGGATATAAGTGTGTTTGGAACCATTGGAAAGGAATGGATACATCTAGTAAGATATGAACATTTGGTTCTACAACTACAGAGCAAACACTCACCACTTTGGAAAACTCAGCTTGTAGATTATCAAGGGCCCTCATCCTGATCTTCCATATTATCAAGAATAACATATTTTGCAGCACCATTGGTGTTTGACAGCCCAGCATCTTTGTCATTCTCCCCAGGGTGAGCATGTTTCAATTTCAAATACCTAAAACATAAAGACAACATATTAGATAATTGGGCATATGCGTTCCGTCTAACGTATAACTATAGATCGTGCAAACCACAACTATTTTGCAATATGAATGTGGATAATATAACAAACATAATGTAATGTGGAAATTTTAACTTTTCAGATTTCTTTTCCTTTTGCTGGTTTTGCAAGCATTCTGTTGATGAATATAAAAGACATCATCATGATGAATCCATGTTCAAATTATAATTTAATTGTCCCAAATAAAAATATAGCAAAATGAAAGAACATTATTCTGAAGTCTCAAGTTCATGAGTTTAGGACATGAACCCATGAGGACTAACAGAAGATGTGCATGTCAACAAAAGGAAAATCTTTGGCTATCCAGAATTACAGCCTATCAAAAAAAGGATCATAGGTCATAAGTCTACATATAACAAGATCTTCGGAAATCAGGTTGAACTTTAGAAGCCAAAACTCTTTAGTTTTTCCTAATGTATACACGCATTGTACACATGAATCAGTGGAATTTTGTGAATATTTTTAGATATCCTGTATCATAGATAATTTTCTCATTTGAAGCCGTTGTGTGTAAAAGTGCTTAAGGTCCATTTTACCGAATAGATCCATTTTCTCTACCCAAATGGTTCATCTCACAACATGGTACAAGACTTCAGAAATTTTGAAATTCTGGTTGTTTACCCCTTATTTATGCTGTACTGGGTCGCTAGGATATCAAAGCGAGGACATACAAGCCATCAAGCATATGTCTCCTATGCCACCTACATATCGCATGGCAGGGTAGCACATGTGGAACCAGTTCCTACAAGAAAGTTCAGCCTTTGGCCCTCACATCCTTGCAACAAAGTTAAGATCATTACCAGTCCTAGGTCACAGGTCCTACAAGAATGATTGAAAAATGGACTTTGAGCAAGACATGGGGATACATTTCGCTTCACATGTGTAAGGATTCGCATGTCTCCACAACTTGTGTAATTCACAAGGACACTTCCAAAGTTTTGCTGTCATTCTTCAGTTTTTAAGATTAAAATGAAGTCTTCTGTTAATTCCAACATAAATCATTTTGAAGTTCTTGTTCCTTTTTTGATGCAGAATCTAGTAGGCTTAGAAACCCTACTCATGCTTCACCCTAACCATTTACATTTATGAAATTTAAAGAATAGAGGCATGATTTTTGTGTCAAATCTGAAGTTCAGTTTATGCTCATAGATGTAGCCTCAGTTGTCAATATATATGCTATCAGATTTGCTCAGGTAAAAGAGCTATTGTGTTTTAAAGCTCCGATCCACTTTTTCTTCATGAATTAATTTTTTTTATCATGTGTTCTACAATCGTATTCTAGATACCTTGGGGTATTATATGATTCAGGTTTCTTAAGTTTATGATATAAAAGATAGAAACATTGAGAGACTTGGGCACATAATTCAATGACTAAGGTGCAGCCTTTGAAGGTGAAGAAACATAGACTAGCAGTTGTGCAGTTCAGGGGTGGCTAGTGATTGAATGTGCAGCCCTGAAGTCATTAACAAGCCCAAAAATTTCAATTGAAGCAACATCTTTACAAAGTACCTGAATAAAAGAATTAAATACAAACCAGAGCGAGAGAGATGAGAGTTTCTGCAACAGGGAATTCGGGTTTTTTTTTTTTGGGGTAGGGGGGGGGGGTGGGGGGTGGGGGGTGGGGGCTGGGTAGGAGAGAGAGAGAACTATGCCACTATAGAAGATATAACAAGCATTAGATCTATTTTCAATATTAATAAGATAAACAGTGCAGAGCTTCATGTCAGTATTACATATATCATACTCACTTGTACCAGTTGAACAAGCTGACACCAATCATAATAGTGAGAAGCCCAATCCCTTTCAATAATGTAAACTGATCATGGAAGTAAAATACTGCAACCTGAACAGATATGAAATTTAGACACCCGTTTTTTATTGACAAATATTGCATCAGAAAAATTTCCCTGTAAAATAAGTAAACCAAATCTAAAACAAGTGCAAGTATTGATCTGATAGTTAGCTAATATTATTAATGTTGTACCGACATAATGGAGATAACTTTAGGGTTTTCCTAAGAATTTCTGCAGACAAGCTAAAAAGTGACAAATTATAACAACAAAACAAAAACACAAAGATGAAGTAATGCATAAACCAAGTGCCCCCTCAATAAAACAAGTTACCCACTACAGAAAGATCACCACATTGCACACATTTAATTTTTGTTCATTGTCTTGACCAAGCTCGATAAAAATATTCACACCTTTGTATGGAAGTTCTAGGATGCCTACAAATCATGCAGCATATGTGAATCACACTCTTAATATTCGCATAAAAGCACAACAAGCAATCTCTGGGGGGAGCATTACGCCTTCATTCTGTGAATTATGCCCCTATGCTGTAGGAACAGATACAGAATTGGCAATTCTGAAGTATTCGACACTCCATATATCCTCAGAAATAATTCTTGCCATTGCTGTGAACTCCTACTGATGGCAGCAGAGAGAAAGATTACTTGGTATTAACACTTTCTGAATACATAAAGCCCCACATTGATTGTTAATAATCCAAGTAACCCCACTGATCGTCTATCTTCCAAATAACAACAGTAAATCAGCACATATGATATCTGAAGGCTAATAAAAGAAAGAAAGAAAGGTGGCAAACAGGTGAACCATTGAATAGGAAGTCAATGATTAAATCCCCTATCCCTCACTAAACTTTTGCATCTATCACAATACCCTAGTTCTATGCATACTCTTTTTAGGGAAACTTAGCAAAATATACCACACTGGTTTACCGTTTAACATTGCACCCACTTCCAACCATGCCAACTCATGATCATTGTATTTGCATAGGCTTTTTGAAATTAAATCAAGAAAATGGGCAAATTGTCAAATGGTTCATCCTAGGTACATTTTTTATCAATTCCCATTTTTAATTAAACTTGAATAATTTTTATAATATCATACAAGGGACTCTTTGCACTGGAGAAATTACACTGAAACGAGAAAATTTCACATAGTCGCATCTTGCACACTGGTGGTGGCTGCCACTGTCCTGAACCCCATAGAACCCTATTGGCAACCACTCTCTCCTTTGCAGGTTCCTTCAACCAAAGTTTTCCGTACCCATCAAACTCCTAAGCATCCATTTTTCTTTCTGTTCCACCTAATCTCCCCCATCAATCAAGCGTCTTATGCACTCTTTATACATACTATCCAGCAAGTGTATGCAATTGTCATTACTCATGTAGTGAACAATATAGAAATTTATGAAGGAAACAAGGAGTCTAGATAAAAAGAAAAACAGCAATGCAGTACAAAATGGGTTAATCCACAATCATCAAGCACCAGTGTATGGTGACAGGAAATGATGCTATACCAAAATAGTGACCGCTTCCTTGACAACACCTGCTATCGTGACGGTTACAGCACTGGTAGCTGAAATAAGAACATATTCAGTTAAAACCTGCAAAAGCAACAAGCAATGTACAATGTCACATAGAATCATTAATATGGCTAAAGAAACTCATTGACCATCAGGTAGATTACACAAGGAACAGAACGAAAGCATTAGAAAAATACAAAATTAATGGAAGATGCTAGCCAGTTGTTGAGTTAGAAGAAACAATAGAGAAGTCTATATTACCATAAAAAATGCTAATGAACCTCCAATAAGCATCAAAAATGAACTTCGAAGGACATGCCAAGAATCATAGAAGTAATCGTTCCTTCTGAAGTCAAGCCAGGGATCAAACATAAGTGAGAGTAGACCCGTTGCCAATGCCATCACAGGGGTAACATAGCTCATCAAGGCAAGAGGGTTCTTTAACCCTAAACAGCATCAGAAAAAGAAAAAAAGAATCAATTAACTATCATCATATAATTTCAAAGAATTCAATATTATGAAATTCTGCATTCAGTGAATTGCATTCACATGTCCTATGCCGCATGCAAACTTTAAGAAATGAAGAATTTTGCACATAAAACGTATGAATAGGAACCTCTTAATGCACATTTTGCTTATGTTAAGAAATAAATTGCTTAGCTTACCATATGATTCTTTCTTCACAACACCAAGTTTGCCAGTTCCATAGATAAGACAAAGAAAGAAAACAAAATGTCAGAACATGGCCCACATGCATATAGAATAAAAAATTATACTTCAGGTAGAATATATCAGATTTCAAAAAATAAAAAAATTGCCAAATTACTTCAGAGACCCACCAGATATTCACCTTGGAACCACAAAATTGAAGAGAAAATACCATAATTTCAAGTATACCTGCAAAAGAATTTGTGTCATGCACCAGCGGAACCCAGACATGACAGCAGCAAGCATCACAAATATAAAGCCCCATAGTTCAAATTCTGTCTCTTTCACAACTGCATCCATC